CGCTCGCTGAGAGCAGCGCATGTGCCAGGTGTTCTGAACCAGGGAGCGGACATGCTGTCCAGAGACAAAGTTCTCCCAGGAGAATGGTCTCTCCACCCCCTGACGATTCAGTGGTTATGGCAAACCTTTGGCAGAGCAGAGGTCGACCTCTTTGCCTCCAAGGAAAATGCGCACTGCCCTCTCTTCTTTTCAAAGAGCACAGACGCGCTCGCCCAAGTCTGGCCGAGCCGCCCGCTGTATGCCTTCCCTCCGGTCGCGATGCTACCTCAGGTCATCAGTCGGATCAGGGAGGAAAAATGTGCAGTGCTCCTGGTAGCCCCACTCTGGAAGAACCAGACGTGGTTTCCAGAACTGATGCAGATGACGCAATCTGCCCCATGGCCGATTCCACTGAGGCTAGATCTCCTCAGGCAGGCCAACGGGATGATCCTCCATCCCCGCCCCGATCTGTGGGCCCTCCATGCGTGGCCCCTCAACGGATTCCCGGGAACCTCCCCAGTGGAGTGTTGAGAACCATCACTGAGGCGCGAGCGCCCTCTACGAGGCGCTTATATGCCCAGAAATGGAAGGTGTTCAGTGACTGGTGTAAATCCAGGAACCTGAATCCTGAGACATGCGAAGTACAGAGTGTGCTCGTTTTCTTACAAGAGCTGTTGGAGGCAGGCCGCACCCCCTCCACGCTCAAAGTATATGTGGCTGCCATAGCGGCATCACATGAACCGGTCGAAGGACGCACACTAGGGAAAAACTACCTAGTTGTTCGTTTCCTGAGGGGCGCCAGGAGGATGAATCCCCCACGCCCCCCCTCGGTGCCGATTTGGGACCTGGCCACGGTCCTGGACGCACTTAAGCATGCCCCGTTCGAACCCCTCCGAACTGTGCACCTTAAACAGCTTTCGCTCAAAACTGCTCTCTTGCTGGCTCTCGCCTCGGTCAAGAGAGTGGGCGACCTGCACGCGCTGTCATCAAGCGCTACCTGCCTGGAGTTTGGACCTAACGACAGCAGGGTTGTCCTCAGGCCAAAACACGGGTATATTCCTAAGGTGCTCTCTACTCCTTTCAGAGCACAGGTGATATCTTTGGCCGCGCTATCGTCCCCAGCAGACGAAAGTGACGCTAATTTACTCTGCCCGATCAGGGCACTCAGAGTATATTTGGAACGTTCTGCCCTGTTCAGACAGACAGAGCAGTTGTTCGTATGCTTTGGCGGCCGCACTAAAGGTCTGGCTGTGTCAAAGCAAAGAATATCGCGCTGGATAGTTGATGCTATAGCGCTGGCTTATGAAGCCAAGGGCCTTCAGTGCCCCTTGGGCATCAGAGCTCACTCTACGAGAGGCATGGCTTCCTCGTGGGCGTGGTCGAGTGGGATACCCATTCAAGATATTTGTGCGGCTGCAGGCTGGGCCTCACCGTCCACATTTATCAGGTTTTATAACCTACAGGTCCCTTCATTGCACTCTAACATACTGTCGGTCTAACTATGCATAGGCTGAGGTGTGTACATGCTGAGCATTGTCTCCTCCCTCATAGAATCCGTCTTTGACTGATGTAGAGGAACTTTCATACACGACAGTACATGACAATGTGCTTGTGTGTGTGTCTCTGGACACCCATCGGGCCGTTCCAATTTGTCCTTTTATAAAGCCCGCCTTCGGCTGGCTCGTTGGATAATTACTTTGCTTGAAGGCTCAGGCATCTGCCTCCGGCTTAATAGAGCGAAGTCAGCACGCACGGCGTTTTACATGGCGTTCCCATAGCGTAAAGCTATTACGCAATAGGAGGAACCTCTCGAAAGAGAACGACTCGGTTACTAACGTAACCTCGGTTCCCTGAGAGGAGGGAACGAGTATTGCGTAATCTGCCGTGCTTGTGCTTGGTCAGTTTGCTTCAGTCGATTGAACCTAAAGAACTCAGACGACGGGGCGCCCAATATATAGCCCTTGGCCACGCCCATCTTGGCGGGCTCTGACGCGCGTGGGCGCGAAGCACGCTCATTGGAAGCGGGTTCAGAGTCGCCCCGTCATTGGTTCGTGCAAGTTGCCGCAGCCCAGCCAATGACCGAGCTGCCTGGCTCATTGCTGTATGCTGTGCAGCTGCAATGCGTTTACATAAAGACTTCAATATTTCTCGAGAAAAGGAGTTTTAAAGCTATTACGCAATACTCGTTCCCTCCTCTCAGGGAACCGAGGTTACGTTAGTAACCGAGTCGTTCTCTGGTAAGCATTAAAAAAATAGTAGTTATCAAATAGTTAATAGTGAACTACCACTTTCATCTGTGCGCTATTACTTACTAATTCGTTAATCAGAATTTCTTGTTAGTTAATAGTAGTTACTAGATTGTTAATATTGTGTTACTCATTTGTTCCTGTGTAGTTATTCATTAACAAAGGAACCGTATTCTAAAGTGTTACCGTAATTTGTTGAGGTCAATTTGTTAAGAAAGACTACACCCCTGCGCACATATATATTCAAACGCGCATACCTATAGACTAAACAAGTAATATGCATGTGCACGCTGTCAGCGTTTTCACAGATTTGCGTTTATGAAGTTTATGCGCAGATGATAACGTTTTTCAAAGGTTTGCGTTGTTGTGCGAATTAGTAGGCCGGAGCACATTAAGGTTGTGTAAGCAGCCCCTAAGTTAATAACTAAAGATCTTTGCAACGGAAGTGAAACAATCAAAACTAGCTTTAGCTGGACAATAACTTTATTCTAGAGCTGCTGTACAGCCAAATTACTTTAATTTCCTGTTATCACTGTAAAGCTGCTTTGAAACAATTTATATTGTTAAAAGCGCTATATAAAAATAGGTGACTTTTCTTGACATCTATGTGTGTAGTTGCTTTTCATTCAAGGGAGCGGGTTTTCTCACAATTCTGCCCATAACAAATTTGGTGATGATCTGTGCATTTTCCAGCATGATGGACCACCATGTCACAAGGCAAGAGTGATAATTGGGGCACTCGTGGACAGCAAATGGCTGAGTGATCCGGGTGTGTGTGTGTTCACTACTCACTTGTGTTGACTAACTTGCATGGTTTAAAGGTAGAGAACAAATTCCAAGCATGGGCTACCATACTTGGCCTTCATGTCAAGTCACATCACATCATAATGAAGTGGCTCGGAATTCATTACATTGACATTTTGGATCCGTGGCCAGGCAACTCCCCAGATCTTAATCCCATAGAGAACCTGAGGTAAATCCTCAAAAGGCAAGTGGACACGAGAACCCCAGAAATTGTGATTAACTCCAAGCACTAATAAGGCAAGAATGGATTGCCATTAATCAAGATTTGGCCCAGAAGCTGATATCCAGCAAGCCAGACTGAATTGCAGAGGTTATGAAGAAGGGTCAACACTTTAAATATTTACTCTTTTCATATATTGAATGTTTTTGCTAATAAAAGCCTTTAAAAGTTCTGAAATGTTCACCATTGTTTTTCAGTATACCATAGAAACATGTGAAAAATATAGTCCGCAATTTTAATCTAAAAATAAAATGTGTGAAACACATTAGTCACTGCCAATATATTGGCCACAGCTGTAGTGCACACAATTCATCAGGTCCAGGTTGAATACAACAGAAACTGAAGAGGATATTTAAATGAAAGTAACTCATTTGTAATCTTGCAGAAAGTAAGAGCAAAGACAAGGAAACACGAAGGACATGAACATCCAGATAAACAATACACTGGAAGTCTCAAATTGGTCATGAAAAGTCTTTCTTTTGTCTTACTCGTACAGTTTTACAGGGTAATACAATGGAGAGACCAGACGCTGACTGTGTGTCTGTGCTGGGGTGATATAGTGTCCGTGATGAAGGGATAAAGGGAAATAGGTAAGCTTGATTAGAACTCTGGTAAGTGTGAGTGATGCATATAATCTTGACAATAATGTTCTTGGATGCACAGTGGGACACAGTGAAGTTGAATTACATGAAGAACAATGCCCAACTGGCCCTGGAGAGGGTTCAACCACTTGGTGTTGTGAAGGTATTCTAGGGCCTAGGTTCTCACTAGCACCTCCAGGCAGTGACGCAACACTTGATAGCAAGGAGCTCACAGTCACCAATGTCGTAGTTCTGCTCTGCTGGGAAGAGCTTTGTGAAGTAGGCGCATAGATGGTGCATGGACAGATTCCTCTGCTGCTGAGACAACACTGCTCCAATGCCTGAGGTGGCGACATCTACTTCCACCACAAAGGGGAGGTAGGGCTTGGTATGAATGATGATAGGTATGTTGGTGGATTGCAGTGGCTTCCTGCTACATTTTTCGTTCTAGATGGAGAGGCGGCAGCATCCCTTCCCCAAGATTATAGCAAACATTGCGTTTTTTTAAAATCGTTTTGCTCTCTGGATGGGCAAATACTACTTGGAAGTAGTCCCCATCATGCAATTAGCGGTGAGGCAGGATCAGTGGTGAAGCACCTGCAGCTCTAACAAACTTCCAGATGTCACCAGATGAGCCCCTACAGTAGCCATATTCAAGTCCAGATTGAAGACATTACCAATGCATTCTCTCACTAACATTTATGCAAATAATGTGGTGTTCTTATTTCATTCAGTTTTTGTAATTTTATGTATAATCATTCAGTTACATAGTGGCATTTCACAGCAAGACAGCATTTTCAACACGTGAACCGTTTCTCTCCAGTGCAAGTACTTGTGTGAGCCTTAAAATGTCCTTTTTGTGAAAAACTCTTGCCACACAGTTTACAGATGAAACGTTTCTCTTCAGTGTGAAGTCTCATATGAGTGCTGAGGCTACTTTTATGACTAAAACAATTTCCACAGTGATGACATAAAACTGTTCTCTCCTGAGTGAATCCTCATGTGGCAATTAAAGGGTTACTTTACGTGTGAAACTCTTTCCACACTGATCACATGTGAACGTTTTTTTTTTTTTTTCTTCAATAAATGGTTTCTCTCTAGTGTAAATGATAATGTGAAACCTAAGATTTACAACTGTTGTAAAGCTTTTCTCCAGTGTGGGATTCTCATGTGGACATTAAGGTTGTGTTTATGAGTGAAACTCTTTCCACATAGTTGACATGTGAAAGGACTCTCTCCAGTGTGAACTCTCATGTGGGCTTTAAGGGTTTGGGTTTGAGTGAAACTTTTTCCACATTGTTGACAGGTGAAAGGACTCTCTCCAGTGTGAACTCTCATGTGGGCTTTAAGGGTTTGGGTTTGAGTGAAACTTTTTCCACACTGTTGACAGGTGAAAGGCTTTTCTCCAGTGTGATTTCTCATGTGGACATTAAGTGAGTTTTTGTGTGAAAAATTCTGTTCACAATGACAGCAAGTATAAGGTTTTTCTCCAGTGTGGATTCTCATGTGGGCTTTAAGGTTTTGTTTTTGAGTGAAACTCTTTCCACACTTTTGGCAGGTGAAAGGCTTCTCTCCAGTGTGAATTCTCATGTGGCAATTAAGTGAGATTTTATGTGAAAAACTCTGTTCACAATGACAGCAAGTATAAGGCTTTTCTCCAGTGTGAACTCTCATGTGGGAATTAAGGTTTTTTTTTTGAGTGAAACTCTTTCCACACTGTTGGCAGGTGAAAGGACTTTCTCCAGTGTGAATTCTCAAGTGGTCTTTAAGGTTTTGTTTTCGATTGAAACTTTTTCCACACTGTTGACATGTGAAAGGCTTCTCTCCAGTGTGAACCATCATGTGGAAATTAAGGTTTCTTTTTTGACTGAAACTTTTTCCACATTCAAGGCAAGGGAAATAACTGTTAGGTTTGGTCTTCTGAGTCTTTTCCATCTTTGTTGATTTCTCTCCAGTCTTGAAATCAAGATGTTCATCTTCCATATTATTCAGTTCTTGACTCTCCTCTTTCAGCAGCATCAGGTCTAAAGTGAAAAACAACAAATACAAGTTAACACCAGTTTAATGGCAACACACAGCTGACAACCTCAAGGCTTAACTAATTGATGACTAACTGGGAAAGTGTTTGCAGGGCCGGCGATTGCTATAGGCGAACTAGGCGGTTGCCTAGGGCGACAAATGTGTTGGGGGCGCGGGCGCCCTCTAGTGTCGCCCCTGGCCTACTTCCCATTAATCATAGAATTAGAATGACAAGAGAAACAAAAACATGTTTATTAAACATAATCATCCTAAGGCGCCCCTCAGCCATACGTTTAATTACTTGTCAACCTGGTTATTAGATTGAATGGATGATTATTGTCGATCATCTCCTAAAGGGGGGGCGGGGGTTAGTTGCGTTACGTTACGTTCTATGGTTACGTTAGGCAAGTGCTCGGCTGCTGCGCGCGCTGATCGATAATGAAGCGGTCTAAACCTATGGTGCACAGGGACGAAAACGGAGAAAGCAACAATATAAAAAGAAAGCCCAGTATAGAGGTAAGTCTTCTCATCTCATCCATTAAGGTGTCAAATGTTCTGGCCATCGGGACAACCGGGAGATTCCCGCGGGCCCGACGTGCTTTTTGGGCCGATACATACATCTCATACTTTTATTTTTCTATTTTTGTCTTAACGGCCCATAAAACTCGTACATCGGTGGCCCATTCGTTTTGTTTTGTTTTACTTAATTGGCGGCGCTGGGTTACTTCCAAATATATAACTTACTTTCAAGTATAGACATTTGTACAATACTCATGAAAGTTTCCTTTATTTTTCAGTGCATTTGTTTAACAATATAGCCTATGGCAATTACTGTCATGGGATTAATATTATATCTATTATTATGTAGTAGTGTAATGTAGACAGACACTGTAATTAAAAGAGGTTTGAATTTTTCTTTGTTCAATTTGCACACTGAATATGGGTTGGAGCTTTTAGTTTTGAACTCTCAAAGTGCACCAGATTGATGAATTTAATATTAAAATGCACAAAATTTTCTTACGGGGAAATACCCCCAAAACCCCCTTAACCTTGTAGCAGCCCAATATATTGTAATAATAGTAGGCCTAGTGGTGGTAGTAGTTGTAATTTATCTACTAAAAGTTATTTATGGTCAGATAAAATATAGTTGTACAATCATACTATGATATAAATATCCTTGAACATTCTTTGTAGCATTTGTATGAACAATTTATTGTTTAAGTTTTTGAGTAACTATAAGAGCATGTTTAGTTTAATAAATACTTATAATTTTTTAAAGGGAGGGGGGTGGGGGGCGCAAAACTCAATATCGCCTAGGGCAACCAAAGGGTTAGAGCCGGCCCTGAGTGTTTGCATGCGTTTACGATAATTCACAAACATTGTGGCAGCAAACTCTCCCGGATGGGTGAAATGGGACTCAGTAGCCTGTTTTGCGCATACATTTGAATGTGTATTTTAGAGTAGTTTAAATGTTTAGTCTAGTTAATGAAGTCTTTTTCATATCACACGTAAAGTTGTCCGTGTCTCAAGCTCATATCTGGAGTCACTAATCATAGATCTTAACTACTTGCTCTTAGTAGTACTTAGTAAGAAAGACATTTCCCATGCCCCGGAAATGTACATTTCTATTAATGAATTAATTAATAACCAATATTGAGTGTTCATGGGATGAACCGAGTAATTGGTTGTAATGTAAAATGTAGCTACATCAAGTTAACCCGATTAACTGATCCAAATATTCATAATCAATTATAACAAGTTATGATTGATTATTAATATTTCATAGAGCTAATTTGCTACAGGGCCCAGTAGCATAAGACGTGTGGCGCGGTTTGCAAAAGACAGCATTTGAGCACAAGAACCTCATTCCAAACGTGAAGCATGGGGGTGGAAATGTCATGGTTTGGGGCTGCTTTGCTGCAGCAGGGCCTGGCTAACTCACTATCATAGAATCCACTATGAATTATTCATTGTATCAGAGGGTACTTGAGGAAAATGTAAGACCATCCACCAAGGAATGGCTCAAAAGAAAGAAATGGAGAGTCCTGGAATGGCCAAGTCAAAGCCCAGATCTTAATCCTATCGAGATGCTGTGGGGTGATTTGAAACGGGCTGTGCATGCAAGAAACCCCTCAAACATCACATAGCTGAAAGAATTCTGTATGGAGGAGTGGGAAAAACGTTCTCCCAGTCGATGTCAGAAACTTGTAGACAGTTATAGGAAACGTTTGCTGGTGTTTTTCATTGCACTTTTTTTTTAAAAAAGGTTCAAAGGGGGGGCGCAACGAAAAAAGTTTGAGAACCACTGATTTACCCCATCACATTTAACCTCCTAAACATACACCTGATCAGAGCAGAGGATGGCAGCCAAAGAGTGACAGAGTTCAAGGCGAAGATTCAGCAGTCCTTAAGTGACCACATGGGGTAGTTGTTTTATTATTATTATAAGCCTCTTATTATTATTATTATTCCTTTGAATTGGTATAATACCTAGCATGTGTTGTTACATTAACCTAGTTCATTAAAAATATCCTGTTGTCTTACAAATTAATACAAACATTAATTAGGAGGATATTGTTCATCACAGGTTGACACGGATGAGTTGGTGGCAAAATTCAACAAAATTCTATCACTGAATAAGAGACAAATATTTCCAATTGTCTTTGATGAGGTTTATTTTCTTGGAAGGAAAGGCCTGCAGTCGTACAGTCATACAGAGCGGGTGCAGAGTGTGACAGTGAAGGGAGGGCATCCTTCATCCTTTATAGTCTTAACTCCCAGAATGTTATCTTTCTAGGCCAATGAAGGTATTTCAACCATATGTGGAACATTCTTAGACTTGTTTATGATATTTTATTCTTGAGTGGAGGCCCTCCTGTCATGTACTAACACTCTTTACCATTCCAATACAATTCCATATTAGAATAAGTTCTTTTAGGACCACTATCATCAAATACGATTGACAATTAGCATAGAGTTTGGATTGGCGGTATGGTTCCGTTCTGGGCGAGAACTCCCTGCGCATCCATGCAGCCTAGCATGGATAAGAGCATCAATAACCCGCCTTAGGGTAAACAAAACAGAACAACATGAATGTATTGCAGATATAATTAATTCAAGATTTTAAAATACAACATAATTCGAGAATTTATTCTGATTCAAGGGGAATCAGAATGCCAAATGCTGACTAGGCTGACTGACTGTTCTATTATTTTACTTGTGTTGGTTAATGCAATGTTTAATTAATTGCATTGACTCAGAATGCCTAATGTTGGTTTTATTGCTTGTCTTAGGCTATGAGAAAATGATTTTTGTTATCAAGTTATCTCATGTAGGAGATTTAATGCGGGTGCAGTTCAGGTTGCGTTTTTATTGTCAAACGGGTCAGGTCAGGTACGGACTAAAATTTGTGTTTCTCTCGGATATCGGGTCAGGTGTTCTGTTTATTACTGCAGGTGCTGTGCGGGTTCGGGTTTATCAAACAGGACCCGTGCAGGACTCTGGCCTAGAGAACTTGTCATCCACTTCTCGTCTAAAGGGTCTGTTCAGCAGGCATCCGAGGCATGGCGAAAGACAAGTGTCTCGTTTCCTGTTCTCAGGGAATATAGGTTACAGTCTTTACAGCGCTTTTGAAATCATTGCAAACAAAGGGAGTAACTCTAAAGCACTGTGTAGATCTAGGATCGAGTTAAGCATTGTGGAGGCTGGGAACTCTAAAAAGGGGACCCTAATAAGGGGAGCGCCTCCAGCTCTAGGGCTGATCTAACAGGGAGGCCTTGTGAGAGTCCTTCGACTTTCCGATCAGTTTTAGGGAGCTTAGTATTCATACAGAGGGAACCTCAGGTAGTGTCTGGAACACTATGCTCAACCTGATATATATTGACCAGGCTCTGGGCTAGAATCAGGAAGGCTCCAAGGATAATTAATGCAAAAAACTTGTTGGGGAGCCGCTTTCAAGGAGGCCTGTGAAGGCCTGACTACTTGAAAGCGATCCGTGTTAGCAAAGCTAGCCTCAGACATTCTTAGGTGCTCTTTACAGACATTTCTGTGGGCCTGGTTATATTAAGTTTACATCGCCAACAGGCAGTGTACTCAGCAGAAGTGCTATCAACCCTTTAAACAAGGGGAATACAATCTTATGCTTCTGGACTATTGAGGAGGCCTACAGCTTTGACTGTCAAGAGCGTAAGGCTGGGCAGTGCTAGGCTCTAAGGGAGTGTACTCAAGCCGACCCAAATGGCAGGGAGTACTTGTGTCTCTACCTGAGCTCCAGTGGTGCAGGGTGAATAAACTAGAGCTGTGTGTAGCAAAAGCACTCTAACAATGACCCTAACAAGGGGAGTACTATCAGCATGACCCTGAGAAAAAAACCTTTTATCTTGTATTACAAGACAAGTTTCCTTGTGTGGCGAGCAGGACGAGGTCGAGTGACGTGAGAGCGGCGCGAGGCCGGATGCGTGAGTGGTAATGAGCGACACCTGTGAGACGCACCGGTCTCGCATCTCTCACGGAGGAGCGGAAGCATAAAGGAGGAGCGACGACGGTGAAGATCGAGAGAGGAACAGGCCTTATTTTATGTTGTGTTTTGTTTCTGTGGCCAGCAGTCGTCCGTGAGGGGCTGCTGGTTTTACTTTCATTTTGTATTTGTTTATTTTATTATTAAAGTGTTCAGTGTTGAATGTTCACCGGTTCCCGCCTCCTTCTTCCCTGAACATTGCTACATTGGTGCCGAAACCCGGGAGGAAGGAGGGACACGCTGTCGGAGAGCCCTCGCTGCTGAGGGGGATCGCGGTGCTGAGGAGGTCGGGTAGCACGAGGGAGCCATGGCCGCCGATTGTTGCCCGAGGCGATGGTGCTGGAGCGATGTAACAGCAGGTGGGACAGGGACCTCGCTGCCGTGCTCCTGGGTCGAGGAGGGGTGCCTGCTGTCCGAGAGGGAGCGGAGGAGTCGCTCCCGTTCGCCGTGGGCCGGAGCCTGTTGCCGTCGGCCTTGATGGGGGCGGAG